TCAGGCATTGCTGTTAAAAGTTTCCCATGGTACTTAGTTCAACAAAAATTAGTTTGATTCAGTGCATCCATAGCAAGATTCATTCTCTGCTACACTGGACACCCGCCTCACTTAAATGCATATAAGAGACATTATTCAGTTTTGCCAGAGACAAAAAAGGTACTGAAGCATAGCAGACACTGAATGTTTTAACTTTCTTTTTTGCTCCTGAAATTCATAATGCTAATTTGGGCATCTTAATTTCCACAGAAAGTACAGCAGAAGAGTTCAACTCCTAAAAATGGSATTTGCTGACACCACCAAGTTCAGCAGGAACTGACCTAAAGCAGACAGGTACATGAACAAAAAGGCAGAATTTATATGCTGTTAGWTCATGTTCAAATGTTTATTGTATAAAAAAAAATACCCAACAATATTAATTAGAACAGCAATGAAAAACCTGATTCCCTTCTCTCGCTGAACCTTTCAACACAAATCATTGTCTTTGTCTGCCTTACTGTAACTTAAGCCAGCACAAAATAGTGCAGCTGCAATATGAAATACTGAGAGAATTTTAGTTTAGAATAACTTCACAAGACTTTCCTGAAAAATGCTCAGTGAGGGAGGCACAAACGGCATAGTGTTCAGGACCAGTGCAAGACATGATAGGAATAGAGGTGGCTGGGAAGTGCTACCAGTCAGAATCTAAACATCAGAAGTTCTTAAACATTGTCTTAGATGACTACAATTACATTTAGAGACCAAARTCTCCTTCATAAATCTATCCCTTATTACTTACATTTCTTACATATCTGTGCATTTTAATTTGTATCTTTTCTCCTAGATATGGTACTACCCTTTTAGAGGACACTTTTTAATATTTAAAATGTTGATATATGTCCTTTACCATGAGATATTCAACTGCTTTTTAGGCTGAATTTATCTCCACATAATCTTGTAGGGAAAGAATTCCCTTTTACAAACCAAAGCTCAAAAAGTTTGAGGCCAAAGCTATCCTCTCATTTAAATTCCTACTCTGCCTACTGAATTGTTATCCATAGACATGTGCAAAGCAAGACATCCATAAACTTTCTTTGTTCAGCCCTTATGCAAAAAAGTTTACAGGACACTGAATTAGCAAATGAGGAATACACAGTGAGTAACCAGTTCTGTAAACTGTGGTYATGTGACTTGTCCAAAACCAGGTAGGAATTTTGTGGCAGGGTCAGGGAAGACATCCATGCTGTTAGGCTGGTTCTCCCTTAATCATACATTATCTACCTGCAATTCACTGCTCCAGTCATGTTTCCCTTTTTAATTTCGAAAATGAGTGGTGCAAAATATGGTTAGTAATCCACTCCACAAATCTGAGCATGCTCCATGAAAAGTGATTGGGTGGAGCTCATATCATCTACCTTAAGCTATTTAAAAATGTAGATGTGCAGTCAAAGATAGTTTTCTGACCTTCCTCTGTAATCAGTGGCATAAAATAGGCACCTCCAAAAGGGTGACTAATCCCATACTGACAGCCTGTCTAAGACTGAATGAATTGCCCTCTGGAAGTGTTTAGATGTATCCATTAACTACAAAGAGTACCTAGATGACTAGATACCTAAATCTTCAGTGGCTCAAGCAGAGTAAGATGGAGCTTGACATTTGTGTTTTACTGTGTACTTGAATGTCAGGAGAAATATAAGTGTCAGCAAAAGTACTGTGACCATCCACAACTGCAGCTCCAAAAATAATTTAGATCTTCATCTAACACCTTTAGTGACCTTCCTGAATAAACATTAGCAGCTATCTACCTAATCCTTAAAGTACCAGAAGTCTGGAAAAGTGCAGTAAAGTCAATACAAATACGAAATTATTGTTAGAAAACTAAAACTTGTGCAGAGCTTTTCAGTAAAACAGTATATTAGCAACAAAGTGGCCCTGAGAGATACAGGCAATAATCAGGTTCAACAARTGTGCTCAGTGCCTTAGCAATCAGTACAGAGGAAGTCCATCAACAGGTAAAATCCAAATAAAACAGCAGTTCAGAACATCAGCTTACCAATTAGGAAGCCAACCAAAACCTCAGCAGCTGAACATCAGCACAAGATCCCACACTTAGAAATATCACTAAGCCACTCTTTGATCAGTGAGAAAAAACTGGTAATTTCCTGTGGCAAATGAGTTATACTTGAGGTAATCAAAACAGTGTCCCAACTGTTGCCCTGAAAAAATGTTGTAGCTTAAAAGTGCTTTCACAGCGGAAAATACCCTCTGTAGAAAGAATTCCTTTGAATTGAGGGAGGTTGGGGAAAGCAAAGTAAGGTGTTCTACATGGATGATGGAATCTATTAACACAAAGAAAATTGTATGTTTAAGACCGAAGGGCAGACTCTCTTAAAAATTAGTAGTCTTCATTTAACTGCATTATTCCAGTGAGGTCATACACCCTTACAAGCCAAAGTAAGGTAAACATATTTATACCTGACCAAAACAAAAATCTAATAGATCATTAAATTTTCATTTTGTTCATGAACATGAGAATATTATGCCTTTGTGTATTTATTTTAAGCTTCAATATTTTTGTTATTAAAAGGAGGAAAAAAATGTGCTTTTCAATAGAGATGATTATATTTATCATTATGATGGAAAATTCATAATTCAGAACTCTTTGCATCAATGAAAGAGAACTAATAGGGATGAAGAATAAAGAAAGCAACTTAATCGGATCTGTGATTTTGACCCTCAAAATAAACAAATTATATTTATATATTATATTCACAGTAAACACCCTCTCCATAAAGACATTTTCCTTCTATGATTATTCTGCAACTTGCTAACTAATGTGGAAAAAAAATCATAAAAAAACCAGCCACAACCCAGAAAAACAGAGACATACATCGCCTTCAAGACTACAACATAAAAAAAAAGTTGGTAGTCTGGCTTCTTCTAATGCTAATGTGCAAACATGCACGTCTAGCAACCATCTAAACTACAATTTAAATGGTTCAGATGGACAGAGGCTAATATGTACTGTAGACAGGAGTGAGAATAAAACAGGAGAAAGTTGGTAAAAGGGAAACACAACTTTAAATAAAGGGTATAAATAAAGTGCATGAGAGATGTGCCAAACATGCACTGGATTTTTTTCTTTCAAATTTGATGTATTTTGCTCATTTCCACACAGCATTAGGATTTGCGTTTCATAGCATTAAAAATACAATTACATGACTACTTTATTATCATTAACATGGACAACCTCCCTTTATGTTTTTTATTTTCTGCAGGTAACTTTCTTTTCTTTTGTTCACTTCACAAAACCACCTCAAAACAGATTAAGATGCACATGGCATTTCTTTATTTATTTCTTTTTATGGGACATTAAAACCCTCCTCACAAGCCATTTTTAACATTATGGAAAATTTTGGACCATTGAAAAATTCCTCAGAAAATCACATAAAATCAAACCGAAACAATCTGCTGTGTGTTCTTAGTCCCCTGCATAGCAGCTAGGTCTAGTGGACTGCACAGGAACTAGAAAGCAAGAACTCACAGATTAATTAATACCTTTCCCCCTAACTGGCTTTCACACTCTGCATTTCTACACATTTTGCACTGTCTAGTCATGTCTTACTTATTTTCCTGAGGCATGTAAATATGAACACCCAAATTACTGCTAAGGAAAACTAAGGAAGCTTATCGGTTGTTTGAGGTCACAAACAAGTCGGTATCATTGCAATACCTRCACCCCAAGTGTATTTCTGGCTAGGTCAAACCAGGAAAAGGCAATGTTGTTAATCCTGGAGCCTACTTGAGTCAAGTTCCAGAAACATGCTCAAAAAAGTATTCTTTKGGACAAGGGTTCCTGAAACCCTTTGTCTCTTATCTGTCTGATCCCCAAGGAATTGCTAGCATGGAAACACGATAGAGAAGATAGAAAGTCATCACCTTGAGAGTATCATAAATGCGAAAGAGACACAATAGAWGTGACAACAATAGCCCAGTTACCTCTCCACACGACTGGGTACCACATGTCCAACATTTAGTTCTAGGCTTAATTTAATGAGTGGTCTTAAAATTTTCATAATGCATCATTCTTTTTGTCACCATTAATAAGAATTTATCAGCATACTAAATATAGAAGTTGAATGAACTAATTAAGGCTTGTACAGCATATGAGATGYTAATGTTTTCAGGTAATAATAATGTTTCAGACCAGAGTTTTAAATTGTTATTATTAATCATACAAAACAAACAAAACAACTTTTTTTCTGTGCATAGGTAAATCAGGACGTACTACTCTACTGGCTTTAATAAAAGTTAATAGAATTTTTTAAAATGCCCATCTCTGAAAACTAACTTCTCTCTACTGAATTAATTACACCTTTAGCAATGTGTCGGAGTCTTTCTTCACACAGAATGCTACTTTTTCAACAGTAAAATAGGAAAGGACCACGAGCCAGTAAGATTTTTCCTCTTTAATTTTTTACTAAAAAATGGGAGTTTTGTCTGAAATGTATGTCTCAGCTTGACTCTACACTATATTAGTGTTTTAGATTAACTTCAACTTAACCTAAGTCATGCTCTTAGATGGTGTAGTATTACACTTCTATTACTCATTTTATTTACTCCTTCAGGATTAAATTACTGCCTGCCCTACTGGGATAGTAGATAATTAACTCTTTAGAAATAAGATTAGTGTTTTGCTAGACGAAAAGCTGGTCCTGAAAGTGAAGCGAACAAATATRTACAAAGAATATTAGAAAATGTATGCAACCATTTTTACCCCTGAGAAAAAGCTTCCAAGCCAACCAGAAAATAAACTATAATGTATGAAGGCTGGCTCAATAAGGAACAACTTCTTTGATAGTTCACCATAACACCTCACTCTCAGGGAAAAGTTGAAAAAAAATATATAAGAAGAATGCATTGTACCATTTCCAAACAAGCACCGTCTTCTCAATCCAAAAAATTAACACAGGTAGCACCACTGATTCTAAAACTTTTATCTCCCCCTCCAACATACATACCAAATATCTTGCAGTCTTGTATCAGTAAGTACCTTTATAGCTTCATACAGACTTTTATCCAGATGTGCTCATCCAAGAGAAGTATTAGACATCTCACATGATCCCATGAGACTTACAGTGTGGGTCATACACAGTTCATTCAAACAAGTAGCTGATCCTCAAGAGCTTTACCACTCCAAACCTCAATGCTGAGCATTTTCAGTTTTACTTCGTCAAGGTTCAAAATGTACAGCAGTGTACTCAGCCGTGGGTAGAGCAGAAGAGATGTTCAGAATAATACACAAATCACTGTGCTAACTAGATGCAATGAGCAAGTACTGGAGGGAGGGAGAAAGGGAGGGATCATGGAATTGCTAGGTCAGTATCAGATAGACAAAGTCTCTAATCTAATTCACTACCCTGCACTGTAATATAAAAACTGAGAGAATAATTGAATGTGTCTCTGACGGGGGAGGGGCCTCCTGTCAGGACAGGAAGAACTCCCTCTCTATCTGTAATACAGAATGGAGATGCATGGTCTTTCTTTCTACCTCTGAACCAGAGATGAGATGATTAAAGAAGGCAGAACTAAAGAGTAGGCAAAGTGAGCCTTTGCCTCCTCTAGAGAAATGCTATGCTAACTCTTGTAGCAGTGAGTAAAAGTGGAAAACTGTGGAAAACACTAAACAGTAAAAGGTGCAAAAAAATACAGGAAGGAAAAGCAAAACCGGTGAACACATTTAATTAATAGATTAGTAACACAACTGTTTAAACATGAAACAGTACACTGGGTTCAGAATTGTTGCATGTCAACAGAGCGTACAAACAATTGTATTAACGAGAAGACCTACATGAAGCACACTGCTACATGAAGTATTTCTCAAGGTGTTGTGCATAACAGGACAGCATCAGGATGGATTACCTGTACCCTCTCCCTTTCAGTTTCCCAGCTACAACATGAATGAAACAATAGGGCTTCAACAAGTTTGGCTAAAGTTCATGTGCAAATCCCAAGAAAGTGGCCTCAATAAGAGAAATAAAAATAAGGCTGGCTTTCTCACTTTGAGATAGATCCAGATATCCTTGAAATATTTAAATCAACCTGAAGACCCATTTTCAAAAATGATCAAATCTAGCACCCAAGAGCAGAGAAGGCCTGCTCTTACAGAAAATCAGTGTGGCATAAATTTCTTTTCTGCTTAGCAATCAGGAAATCCTATACAATGTGAAACCTTGGTACCTAAAGGTTGCAAGTATATATGTTCTGTATTTCTCATATTTGGATAGGGATCTCTTTGGTCTCTGTGCAGAGCAAGGTGTTAGATTAATACCAGACCTTATGTCCAAAGAACTCAGTGCCTTTTCTCTTCCTCCAACTTCAGCTAAGCATTACCTGCCCTCACTATACTTCTGAATTGTGATGCTTACTCTCAAAGTAAGCATCTTTAAGAGATTTGCATAAAAATAAATCCCCTTGAGTTTATTCATGTTGCCGAGCCTTAGTCCTGCAGGAAACTTTTTTTTTCCTTTGTTGCCTTAAAGGGTACAGCCTGTCCCTGCTGCGCACATTTGGGTTTGTAAGTGGGTGGGGTGTCTTGGAAGTATTGTTCTCCTGGGGATACACTGACAAGCACATACACATTCTGGGGACTGTGATTACTCCTGGTTGTCTCAGGACAAAGAATAGTGTAAAAACTACTTACAGCTCTTGTAAAGAGTATCAAAATATCACTATTGTCTTCCTCAACAAGAAACATACATTGGAGTCACACTCCCAGCAGCCACTCCCCTGAAATCCAACCAGGGTTTACAGTAATTTATTGGCTACATGGGCCTTGTGCTRTCTTTGTATGAGTGACATTTCAGCAGCCCAAGAGAATAATAGTGATTGAAGATCTTTTAAATACTAATAGTAGTTCAGCACAGGTTTTGTCTTCCTGAGGTTTAATCTCAGTTTCTTTTTTTAAAGACTTGTGGCATAATGGACAACATCCCTCGCCTCTTGCTCAAACACATCACAGACACAAACTCAGTTAGAGTAAACTTTTTGTATAAACTCTGAGGTTCTAGGAGTAGAGGCTGACAATTTACAATCTGGATGTGAAGAGCTTACTATTAAACAGGGCCCTGATCTGGAACCTCTGGGCAATGCTGCAAGAGAAGCACTAATTATAGTGGTGTCATCTTGTTATCTGAGCAAATGACTGTAACGCCTTCATTTTCCTTCTGGCTCTTCTTCCACCTACCTTTGTTGCCTCAACTTAGCTTTGTGTCCTCATGTAAACATCTATTTTATTCTTCATTTGCTTATCTTATAAGTTTTGGGAGTTATATTTGCATGTAGCAAATGGTCTTAAAAAACTTCAAGAGAAAAAGCAAAAAAACTGAGTTTCCCAGAAAGACGAATGAGCACTAGGCCTATTTTAAAAAGCAGCAGCAGGTTAAAAACATACATTAGTGTATGTCCCTTATTGGTCCTTCTTTACAGGTAGTGAGCCACAAACTAAGACAAGGTAGTGAGCCACAATTTCCAACTCTCCAACTACTGCCCTAAACATTGTCAAGGATTTTAAACTCACTTCTTCTCAAGGTTTCAAATGAGTTCACCAAGACACAATACAAATGACGAAGAAGTATTATGTAGTTCCTTAATCATACTGCAAAACCATTTTACTAACTGCATAAACAAAGTTTAATTCTCAAAATTCAATATCAAAGAAAATATTAAATATGCCAAAATTTAAATATCTGAATAGATATTAATGCATCTTAAGAATTATTTTGCTTTGTTTGCTTTGTTCTTGACCCCCTCCCCTTACATTTCTGTGGGTCACACAGACCCTTCTTATTGTCACAAAATCTCTTTGCCACAACAGGCACTAATTTAGTTTCAGGGATGGGAGGATGAAATGAGAAGAAAGTGCTAGATGTTCACAGTAATGGTTTATTTGGTATTTTCATTTTTATTGCCTATTTAATGCTTTGAATTATGACTTTCTTTTCCTGAGGAATAAAATGTCACATCAGCAAACACAGTGAGATTGATGCAATTAGTGTGAACATACTGCAAATAGTCAAAAGAGAAACAGATTCACCATTGAACACAGTAGACTGTGCTTTGTGATTTAATCCTTTTCAGGTAAGTGAGGGCAGTAACAAAACGTCTACTTTTAGACTAAAAAACTTACAACTCTATGTAAAAACACTTTTATATCAAAGTTCATGTCTGCCTTTCCAGATCTTCTAACATAAAATGGGCATGAGAGGTATATAAAAGTTGCACTGCTTTCAAACACATTAGTAAAATACACTATTTAATTGGTAACCTACAATATTAGTAACTCTCAAATAGTATCTGATTTTTTTAAACACTGATTGTTAAAATCTTTCTAATTTATATTCCATATAATATGCTAAGTTAATATCGTCACACAATCCCAACACATACAATCTCCCCCAAATAATTCTCAGTATATCAAAGTGAAAACTAAAASCCAAACATGGAAAAGACATGGGATATTTTAAGAGACTTTTTAGAGTTCAATTATTTTCCCCATGGAAAAGATCATCCCTTGCATTCTTTAAAATACCAATTACATTTCAGTGAAGACCACTAGGTGAAGAGGGGATGAGATTACAAGTGATTTCTGAGTTTCTTCTTGAGGCAAAATTTCAGTGATCGATTTCTGTTCAGCTTTAACTAGATGGGCTCAGCCACTGCACATTCYATAGGGTCCAAATTTACTCTTTAAAAAATCTAGTGCACCCTAGTACCTAACATGATTACATAACCCTTTTTGTCCTTTTCACAGCCCGTGTGTGGGGCATGTGGAAGCATGCACATCGTGGGGGCAAAGTCCCCATAAACTTCGTGGTGGCCGACCCAGGGACCATAGCTGTGCCTCCGGAGAATTTTTTTAGGCAAGCAAAGTATATGCAGTACAAGTCTATCCCGGACTAAAGGCTAAACAAAAAAAGCATCCCCCCTCCCTCCCACGCTGAGAGCTCGATGCTCTCCTACCTCCCAGCCTTACAGCCGGCAGACAAGATAAGGGATGGAGTTGATCCGAAGGGGTTGCGGGCTGTCGCTGTACCTCCCAGGCCAACGGGGCTAAGGCGGGAGGCCCGGGGCCCGGAGCCCGGCTCTCCCGTGAGAAACTCAGGGAGWTTTGTCCCGGGGCGGGGGAAGGGCCTCGGGCTCCCCCGGCCGCCGGCGGGACGCGCACGTCGGGGCTGCAGCCGGTTCTCCCGGCCCGGGCGAGCCTCACCTTCCCAGCGCGGGACACCGCCACAGCTCGCCTCGCTGCAGCCGGGGAATGTTCCAGGTCCGGAAGAGCTACCTCCCGCTCACGGAAAATATTGCCCAGGAGTCAAAAGAGGCAGAATGAAGAAGGGCACGGCAGGTCCAGGGGAGGGGGCAAAGGAAAAGCCCCTTCTCTCGGCACGGGCCGGCCCGTTCCCTTCCGTTCCCCCGGCCCGGCTCCCGCTCGCAGGTGAGCGCCGGAGTTCAGCTGCCGGGAACGCCACGGTCCGGACAACACATCCTGCCCCCACAACCAAACAAAAAGTATATATAAAAAAATCATCCCATATCGCCCTACCTTTTCCTCTACATGCCCACGCATTTTACCTGTTTTTATGCCGGGTTTTCAATAAATTCCTTCCAAAAGGAGCCATGATCCCAGCGGCATAACATTAGCGATCCCCAAAGATCGAGGGTGTTCCCTTCTCCCCTATTTTTTTTGCCTGAGCGCCTTCCAGCTTGTTAATAGTCRCCGAGCGTAGCGATGAGCTGGAAGTTGTGCAACTTACTGCTAACTTTGAACTCCAGCTAGTTGCTGCTGCTGCACCTTTGGAGTCCTGCCCAGCTGCGAACTTGAAGGAGGTGTTTAGGAGCAGGAAAAAGAAAGGGGAGGGGGGGAATACGCACTTGCTCCTGTGATGTGAAGTTATGCACAGAACTTGCTAAACTTTCAGCCTTATCACCCTCAGGGCAGCAGGCAGCAAATGGGAAAGAGGGGGTTTTGCTCCAGTGTGGAACTCTGAAAAGACACACACACACTCACACAAAAGCACTGAAAACTTTCCCCGGGAGGCTCCAGCCACTTCAGGTCAAGTCGCTCAGCTTAAACACACGCGTTAATGAAGGACAAACTACAGTTGCCACACCAGTTTTCAAAGCATAATAATCTGCCTTTTCAGTACCTCGGTACTTCTCTACAAGATGTTGAACGTGTAAGGGGAAGATGAAGGGGAAAAGACCGCTGTGGCCCCTCTGCTCCCCCTGGATTTTTAAGTAAATGAGCTATTTCCATAAAAGCCTTCACAGACTAAACGCACCTTCGAAAATACGGCCTAGCAGAGAACAAGCA